GAAGGTGAAAAAGTGTGGCTGCATCGTAACCTGCAGCAGTGGAGGGCTCACACCAGAGATGGCCAGACCCATGGAAATAGTGAACGGAAGCAGAAGTTCGCTTTTTATCAAAGGGATTCTCTATAGCTAGAGATAGAATCACAGTTGGGCTTTTTTCCCCCCATTGCTATTACAAAGTCTCAGAATCTCTCTGGTCCAACTTGCCTGAAAAGTGGTCACTCAAGCTTTACTTCAAGCAATCATCAATGAACATTTATTAAGTGCCTACGGGGTACCAGGACCTGCGCTAAACATGAAAAGCCTCTGGTTAGAGAACCACTTTAATGATAGCGTAAAACAGATTTGAGACTGGGAATCAATGTAGTGACCACAACTTTACCTCTTGGCAGAAATAATGGATGAGAAGCGCAGAACAACACAGAACCCAGTTCACTTATCTTAGAAATATTGATCTAAACCAGACCCAGTGGCTCAGGCCTTTCATCCCATCAACTAAGGAGGCTGAGACTGGTGGAACTCTTGAACTCAGAGCTTCTGAGCTGCGGCAAGGCTAACATCGATTGAATGTCTGCATGAAATTCGGTATGAAGGTGGTTGGCAAACCAGCCCAGGTTGGAAGTGAATCGGATCAAAGCTACCCCAGCATGAGTGGGACCAGACCACTGAGTAGCCTCTCTGCTTCTAGCCTGGGTCAGATATGGAGACCTAGCCTTTAAAAAAAGAAAAGAAAGAAAGGAAAAGAAAAAAGGAAGGAATGAAGAAAGGAGAGAAGGGAAAAAAAAAGAAAGAAAAATACTGATCTATTTCTGTTGCCCCCCCACCTACCCCAGGGGGAAAAGGAAGGAAACAAGTGTAACATTCTCCTTGCCTTAACAACTAGAATTCTAGTCACCTCTAGATCAAAGGTTCTTAACTCTTTCCATCTGGTGAAGCCTATGATCTCCTTAGAATAAGATTTTTACAGGCAGCTAGGTGGTATAGTGGATTGAGCACCAACCCTGAGGTCAGGAGGACCTGAGTTCAAATTCCACCTCAGACCAAACACTTGACACTTACTAGCTGTGATTGCCTAAGGAAAAAAAAAAGTCTTTAAATATTTGAAAGAAATGCTAAGTTTCAGGTATGGATTAATAAAAATAAAGATTTTTTTCCTATGCAAGCTAATGAACTGTTATCTATATCAATATCAGGAATTCCACGAAACCATTGTTGAATCAGGAAGAAGCTTTGTTAACGACCTGGAAGGCCGTGCATCCTGCATGTGTTAAGAGCATGCTTGTGGGAGCACACGTATTGACAAATGCACACCTTTTTATTCCCTATTCCCCATTTGAATTTCCTTCCCGTTTCCCCATTCGCTGGGTGCTATAGAGGTTACAGTCTATCCGAAGCACTTAGTTTCCCTACATGAGTCTCCACCCCCAATTACGTCTCCCACTCCCCACAATTCCGTCACCCCGGCCCTTACTTGGGAACACCCCTTTTGATGTTAATCTATACCTAACCTCAGAACTGGTTTCCCACCAGGTATCTATTCACCACCAAGAATGTTTTCTTATTCTAATATAACTCCCTTTGTCCAACTTCCACCTAGCCCCCAGACTACATTCCTTTCTACTGGACTTTTTGTGGAAGAACTATTTCCTTGACTCCAACCTCTGATTGAGTGATATGCAGAAGCAAGTCCACATATTCCACAGGAACCCTCTGGAATCTCCCCACGGATCCCAGTTTAAGAACGCCCAGCCTAGAATCACAAGACTCTTTCCTTTGCATTAGTTAGCCCAGCTGCTCCAGGATTCTCACCTCCTTTAGACCCCCAGTTCTTGTTATCTAGCCCAGGTCCAGCTAGCATCGTCCACAACTCTGATCCCCTTTCTCCTACAAGTGGGGAGCCTGACTTCTGGCCCTAGCCAAGCTTGGGTTGTCAGCCTCGTGAGGATTTGGAGCAAAGGCTCTAGACTTCAGCTTGGGCTATAGGGACCCCGAACATCCTGTTGATTGAGGTCATGGGCTTGGCCCATATGATCCAGAACTTGAACACAGATCCTTAGTCCAAGTGACCCCCACCCATCCTTGTCTCCCACCTACACTACTGGAACGAAAAAAGGGGGTGAGGGAAGAGCAGGTGGAAAGCAGGGGGAGGTAAGTTAGGAAAGAATGTAGTGCAGTTCATTGAGGAAATAGCCCAGGCAACCTCCACGGGGGACTTTTCCTAATGAAGACGCTTAAGATTCTAAGTCCTATTGCTGTTCGTTCCTGGGTCTTTTGTCTTATCCTGTAACTCTATGGGGTGGCCAGCCTGTGTTTTTAGTTAAAGAGTTGACAGATTTCTAGCTGGTAAAGCCTCGGGGTGGGGAAAGATAAAACAAAAACTCTAGTTGGGAGAAGGCCAAATGTTTCTGGGAAGTGCTTCCCCCAACTATGTATGTTGGGAAAGAGCACCAGGTTTTTTTTTTTCCTGGACACTGTTCAGAACTTGGGCCACAGAGCTAGCTCAGAGAAGGGGACAGGTACTAATGGGAAGTAAAGAGGAAGAAAAAAAAAGGGGAGGGGAGTGTTTTGTTCCATTCCTAAGAGCTGGGCTTTGAAGACTGCTTACATCCCCTGCCACACTTATGACATCCTCTTAGGGGCAGCTAGGTGGCACAGTGGATAGAGCTCTGGCCTTGGAGTCAGGAGGACCTGAGTTCAAATCCAATCTCAGACACTTAACTAGCTGTGTGACCCTGGGCAAGTCACTTAACCCCAATTGCCTCACAAAAAAATATATATATATATACGTATATATGACATCATCTCTAACTGATAAGGATAGAAGGACTTTGGCTCTTAATAACACTCCCTGCCTCCCCACATCCCAGTCTACCTTTAGGACAGGAATTCTGTAAACTTTTTTTTTTTTGGTATCTTGATAACTATTTCAATCTAATTAGTTTACTTTGTAATCCTATGTATTTTATGCATTTAAAAACATTTCAAGAAGGATTCTACAACAGAAAAAAAAGGTAAACTCCTGCTCTGGAGCTGTAGTTTTTAAAAAAATTTTTTAATTAATTTATTTTGATTTATCAACAATCACTTCCATAAGCTTTTGAGTTTTAAATTTCTCATCCTCCCTTCCCTCCTCCCTCCCCAATATATAGGTTTTATGATATAGATTTGACATATACATTCCTATTAAACATACTTTCACATTAGTGATATTGTAAGGAAGAATTAGAACCACTAGGAGGAACCACCAGAAAAAGAAAACAAAACAGAAGAAAAAAATAGCAAGTAGTATGCTTCAATCTGCATTCAAACTCCAGAGTTCTTTCTCTGGATGTGGATAGCATTTTCTACCATGAGACCTTTGAAGATGTCTTAGATCCTTGCTTAAGTCTATCTATGTTAGTTATCACACCATGTGGCTGTTACTGTGTACAACATTCCCCTGGTTCTGCTCACTTCACTCAGCATCAGTCCATGCAGATGTTTCCAGGTTTCTCTGAAGTCCTCCTGCTCATCATTTCTTATAGCACAATAGTATTCCATTACATTCATATACCACAACTTGTTCAAGCCATTCCCCAATTGATGGGCATCCTCTCAATTTCCAATTCTTTGCCACCACAAAAAGAGCTGCCATAAATATTTTTTTACATGTGTGTCCTTTTCCCATTTGCGTCTCTTTGGGATACAGCCCTAGAAGTACTATTGCTGGGTCAAAGGGTATGCACTTTTTTATAGCCCTTTGGGCAGAGTTCCAAATCATTCTCCAAAATGATTGGATCAGTTCACAACTCCATCAACAATGCATTAGTGTTCCAATTTCCCCACATCTTCTCCAACATTTATCATTTTCCTGATTTTTTTCACGTTGGCCAGTCTGATAGTATGATGTGGTACCTCAGAGCCGTTTTGATTTGTGGAGCTGTAGTTTTAAATCCATACTTCAGGTTTTATTAATCTTTGTATTAAGGCTTTATAAGACTCTTTATGAAAATGGACCTTTCACAAGCAGGCCTTTGTAAAAACAGTCAAATCTGATTGATGTCTTTGCAGAAGCTTCTTTGTTAGTTTTGTGTTCACAATGGGGGCCAGAGAGATCCTCAGCTCCAGTTTTTCCACCATTTAGTAGCAAGTGCTTTCTAAATGAGTGATTGTAATAAGTCTCTAGTCCAGATTTTAATTGTAATTAAAATTACAGATTATAAATGACAAATAATTGAGTACTCAATTAGGGAATGGTTGAACAAATTGTGGTATATAATTGTGATAGAATACTATTGTGCTATAAGAAATAGAGCAGGATGCTCTCAGAAAACCTTGGAAGACTTAAACTCATGCAAAGTGAACAGAACCAGAACATTATCTTTACAATATTGTTATTAGTGTTTAATCAGCTATGAAAGGCTTAGCCATTTTGAAGATAATTCCAAAGGACTCAATGAAAAATACTATCCAGGGGTAGCTAGGTGGCACAGTGGATAGAACACTGGCCCTGAAGTCAGGAGGACCCGAGTTCAAATCTCAGCCTCAGACCAAACACTTGACACTTACTAGCTGTGTGACCCTGGGCAAGTCACTTGACCCCAATTGCCTTAAAAAAAAATAAATTAATTTTAAAAAAATGCTATCCACCTCCAGAGAGAACACTGATGAACTTGAGTGCAGATTGAAGAAAAAAATTTTAAAAACTTTAGAGTTTTTTGTGTATTTTCTTTTGCAACATGGCTAATATGGAAATACTTTATATGATTTCATTTGTATAATAGCAAATAGCTTCCCTTTTCAAGGAGGGGGAAAGGCCAAGAGAAGAGAATTTGGAACTCAAAATTTTAAAAAATTGTTTAAAAAAATGTACATGTAATTGGGAAATTTTTAATGAAATAAAAATATTTTAAGCACTTATTTTCTAGCTTTCCATATTTATGAAACTACCTTCTAAGCTTACTTCCCACAAATTAATGACACAGGTGTGTTTTCCTTCACTTTATTTCGGAGTGATAGAAGCCCTAGCAATTCCTGGAACAAAGAGACCTATATTTGTGGCTGCCTATGATGAGGCATAGCACTAGGCAGACTGTAGCTGCTATCCCTACTGTCATCCCCAGCAGCAGCTCTGGCCATTCTGGGACGCCTGAGAGAAAGTAGAAGAGACAGTGGTTAAAAATGGAATGAGGCCAAGCCAGATACTTCCATGTTGAGCCAGGTCTGTACCTACCTCCCACGTTGTTTTCTTGGCCTGATTTTGGCCCATTCTCAGCCTCAGATAGAACCAGAGGCCCCAGCATCAGGTCTGCCTCCAATTCTGAAGGGTTACCTAGGAGACGAGAGACAGATGAGATGGCTCATTGTCCATTCAAATTCCAAGTTCCTGTGTTGAAAGCCTTCCAAAGCCTCCGTTCTACCTAATTTATGACCTTCTATTCTTCTGATATCTTCAGTCCCAATCAAGCTAGTCTTCACATCCCCCTGCTAATTAATGCTCCTAATAGCAGCCTCTGAAGTCCATTTCAGTTGAAATTACCTAATCCAAACTGACAGACCCCTGTCTATGTTCTCTAACATTCATTTACCTTTTACTGGAAGGCCTCTAGTGGTGGGAGGTACTTGTTACCACCTTAGAGACCCCATTCTATTTTTTTTTTTTTAGAGGGGACCATTTTAGTTATTAGACTGTTTCTAGTCATGTTCTTTCTCTCCTCAATTCTACCCTTCCTTCGTGGTTGGGGTTCTTTTTTTTTTTTTTAAAGTTTTTTGTTTGTTTGTTTTTAGGCAATTGGGGTTAAGTGACTTGCCCAGGGTCACACAGCTAGTAAGTGTCAAGTGTTTAGTCTGAGGCCAGATTTGAACTAAGGTCCTCCTGACTTTAGGGCCAGTGCTCTATCCACTGTGCCACCTAGCTGTCCCCTCGTTGGGGTTCTTTTAAACAAGTTAGCATTTATATAGCACCTATGTGCCAGACCTAGTGCTAAATATTTTATGCATTCCCATTTGATCCCAAAACTAGGAGACAGAGAGGTAGAGGACTATGAGGGCAGAATGTTGTGTTAAAGGTTACTTATTGAGTTTTTTCCAAAATTGTTTTTTCTTTTTTGATGTGAGGGGTTGTTGTGTTTCTAAACTTTGAGATTGACAAAAGCAATCAATGAAATGATTTTTTAAAAAATCAAAACCAGATTAGACCCCTGGCATTCCAGCCCCTACCCTCCCTACCCCTGCCAATGCTTTTACTGTTACACAATCTTGTCTGTATCAGTTATAACCCCCGACCACCTGGGTTCTTGAGACAATCACTTCCTTTCCTCCTGTATTCCTCCTGGAGCTGGTAAACAGCTCTTCAGCATCTCCCAGACTGGGTAGACAAGTTTCTGTCACACTCACCCGGCTCCTGATCCAACAGGCTCCGTTTCCTGGAGGATGAGAGGGATGTGCAAGTTCCCATCCTGCAGCAGTTGCAGACGTCGCTAGGACCTTACAGGGACCCACCTGGGATAAAAAAAGGACAAGTCACTCCGGGAATAAGCCATTTATCCATGAGCCTCAGGTCTGTCCTCCATAAAATGGGGGTAGTCCATGTTTTAAGTCACAGAATGCTCTATAAAACAGAAAACTGCCCTTATTCCCCCCCATTTCATTCATCCTGAATTCTTAAGGCACTCACTTGTCAGCTGTTAAGTTGTAGGAACAGGCTTTGTTCAAGGGACTGGGGGCCTGGTCAGTGGCTGTGACTTTTAGGTGGCAGGTGATATAAATCTAGGAAAACAAGGGGAGGGGTTAGGAAGGCCCAGGGAATCCAGAATTTGTAGCTTCCAAGGGAGAGGATTTACCTCATTCCTGGAGTCTTGGGCAAACCTGAAGGAGTCTACCATGAAACGCAGCACATTCTGCCCAGGCCGGGGAGAAATGAAGATTGAGGAAGAGTCCCACGATTGTCCATCTACCAGGCACCTGGGCATAACAGGTCTGCATCTGCATCTGAGACCATTCTTTCCCCTCCCCCAGTTTTGGTCTTTTCTCCACCCCTTTACCCATTGAAGTCAATGACAACGCGGTAGGGGACAGAGGCCGGGTCTGGGGTCAAGGTGGCTATGCAGCTATCAACAAAGAGCCTCAGGGGCGCATGGTAGCCAGTGTAGACATCGGCCTGGATGTGGATCAAGTCCCCCAACTGGAAGGCTGAAGAGGTCCTCTCTCTACTCCAGTCATCTAGAAGTTGATGATAAGAACAGGCTCATCTTTTCATTTCCCTTCCAACCCCCTCCCTCCAAACCATTGTTTCCTTCTCCCACCCCCATCCCTGTTCCTGGTGCCATTTCATCCTGGAACTTCCCTTGGATCCTGGGGTAGGGGGCTCCTTGTCCTGGAACATTCACATCCCTGTGGCCTTCTCACACTGAAATATCCCTCTAAGACCTGCCCCCTTCTCCTACTGGAGGAGTGCCTCCTGGGGTCACCATTTTGTAAAGGTTCCTAGGTTGGCCTTCATTCCCAACCCAGCCACATTCCTGGCTTCTGGACTTCAAAACCATGCTCTCATACAGGGTACTTTCATCTCTCCCCCCTCTCCCCCATCAGAATATAAATTCCTTGAGATTATGGGCTTAGTTTTGCATCCCCAGTGCTCATAGGAAAAGCCCAATTCATGTCTCTTTCCTTCCTGCTATGAAATAGGCTCTTGACACCCCATACCTACCACGAGGTGTAGGGAAAACTTGAACCGCTGCTTCCTGGACAGGGTGGAATAGAAAGGGACCCAGGTGGGACGAATGGCTCTGCTGCTCACTTTCTCTCTCCTAGAAGGGAGGGAAAGAGGTCTGAGATACTATGGGGTCATGAAGAGACTCCCTGGAAGGCAGTGCCCAAGTCCTGAGGAAGGGCAGCTGTAGACCCCCCAGAAATGCCTGACCCCTTGAGGTTACCCTCTTCCATACCTCACCTGGGGTATGGACACTGGATGAGGACTGAGACCTCACTGCTTCTAAGGACCAGTGGGCTTTGGGAGAGGCTTGGTGCATCAACAAGTCTGGGGTCATCTGGGGGAGAAAAGAGTTCCCAATATGCCCTCTGTCTATAGGGCCCTGCAGCTCGATGGCCAAGGGCTTGTCCTGTTTTCATACTCGCAGGGCAGGACAGTCAGCCTAGCTGAGGCAGCAGGGCACTCAGAGAGAGCCAGGAGGCTGTTACGTATCAGGCAGGCCACCTTGGCTACCATCAACCCCCTCAGACTCTAATAAGACCGCCCAGGACCCTCAACCTACGAGCCTTTGCAACAGCAACGCTTCCAGCCCAGCATCCACAGCCAGCATCCTGGGAAGCAACTCTGTCAAGATACAGCCCAACATTAATCCTACACATGCTAGAGCCATGTCTGTTGAAGACCCAGAAAATAAAGCTCCTGCCACCAGAATTCTTGGTATTGTCAAATCTCATCAGAAATAGATACTATTTTATAAGTGCAAATGACATTAAGGAAAAGGCCTCCATGTCTGCTTTGTTTCTGTACCTTAAGGACCAGGGGACCTTCCCCATCTGCCTCACAACTAAAACCTTCCATATGCCTTGTCTCCCCTCTTAGAAGGGGAGCTCCTTGAGGGCAGGAAGCGAGATTGTTCTTTGCACCTCCAGCATTTAGCTCGGTGCTTTGCAAATAGTAAGCGCTCAATGAAAACTTCTCATTCATTCACAGTAATCCTGGAATACAGAAATTCAATAATCTCTACTCTACGGATAGGCAGGACAGAAATTGGGGTACCTCGATGAGTCAGAGATGGTGCTAGGACCTGGGACTAGATCTCCCAACTCAGCCCAGGGATTATGTCCACCTACTGCCAAGAGGAAACTGAGACAATCCAGGTTAAGTGATTTGCCCAGGGTCACACGGCTAGGAAGTGTCTGAGGTTGGATTCGAACTCAGGTCTTCCTGACTCCAGAACCAGAGTCTATCCACTGCACCACCTAGCTGCCCTTCTTGTGGTGTTCAGTCACGTTGGATTCCTTATGACCCCATTTGGGGCTTTCTTGGCGAAGATACTGCAATGGTCTGCCATTTCCTTCTCCAGCTCATTTTATAGATGAAAAAACTGAGGCAAACAGGATTAAGTGACTTGGCCAGGGTCACACAGCTAGGACGTGTCTGAGACCAAATTTGAATTCAGGTCTTCCTAACCCCAGAACCAGAATCTATCCATTGCACCACCTGGCTGCATTTCTTACGGCCTTAACAGCAATACCCCCTAAGGTGGAATCTTACCTGGAGTTCACTTCCACATTCATGGAGCCCCACCTCAAAGATGACTCTCTTACTCAGGGGGTCTGAGGACACGGGGGCACAGGCCAAAGGGCCCAGGGTCAGCTTTGTAGCCCAGACCAGCCGCCCAGTTCTAAAGAAGTCCCTGTTCACACTCACTATCAGCCGGTCATCCTCACACTGCACTTCTACCACAGGTGGTGGGGAGGATAGAGATCCCAGAGCAGGGCTCTGCGTAGCCCAGGACAGGGCCTTGGTTTCGTCCCAGTCACCATCCTGGAGAGTCCAGAGTAAGAGGACAGACACTAGCCTAGCTCCCAGCCCCATCTCACCTGCCTTATCAGAGGGGAGCTACTGCCCAGGGCATTTATACCTCCCCCCTCCACTCCACATTCATCCTGCCCGCCTCCCTCCCCCCCATCCCATCCCCAAGCCCAAACCTGGGACACCTGACTCCATCCCCCAGCTGCCCCAGGCTTCATCCTCAGCCAGGGTCGCAGCAGAAAATGAGGAAGAATAAGTAGGGGAATCTGCTTTCACCTGTTGAGTGTTTGGGCTGAGATTGGAGTCAGAAAACCTGGGTTCAAATCTCTCACTTCCCTGGACCTCAGTCTTCTCATTTGTAAAATGAGAGGGTTGGACAAGAGAACGCTAAGGTTCTTCCTCCACTTAATTCCCCTCCCTGAACTCTGCAGTCCAACTACACTGGTCTATTTGCTGTTTATTTGCCATTGACCCATTTCTCTCTGTTCAATTTAGTTTAATTCTATGAACATGTATTAAGCATCTTCTCGTTACATCTCTTGACTGTGAATGTGCACCAGCTGCCTGGAATGCTCTCTCTCCTCCCCTCTGACTTCTGGCTTCCCTGACTTCTTTAAGATTCTGCCAAATCCTACCTTCTGCTGAGGCTTTCCCCAACTCCCCTTCCATCTCACTGCTGCTGAGGTCATCTTCCACTTATATGGCGTCTATCTCAGAAGGACACAGTTATTTGAATGTTTTCTCAAACAGGATGTAAGCTCCAAGGGAGATCCCATTTTGCCTTTCTTTGTGACCCCCGCGCCGAGTATCATTTCTAGCCCATTGTGTTTCATAGATGCTATTGACCGACTTTTAACTCCACCACTTGCCCCATTGAGCTGTTCTGAGGAATGGGCTTTATAAACCATAAACCATTACTCAGGGATAGGGAACCCATGGCCTCGAGACCACATGTGGCCCTCTAGGTAGAACTTGAGGACTTCGAGGGCCACATGTGGCCTTGAGGCCGTAGCATCCCCGCCCATGTGTTACATAAATGTGGACTGTTACGTGCTGGGCTAGTAAGTTATGTTAACACAAGTGGGAGTCATTGGCTTAAAAATATGTTTATGTAATCAGTTAATGGAATTGTACTGGGTTCTAAAACATGAAGAATATGAAAAATTCAGAGAAGCCTGGGAAGACATATGAACTGATACAGAGTGAAGTAAGTAGAATAAGTAGAAAACAGACACAATGACCCCATTGGAAAGAACTAAAACCCCCAACAAAATAGGGATGAATGTCATATAATTAAAATAACCAAGCTTCTCCTCAAAGAAGAGATGAGAAAATGAGCTTCCCTTCCTTCTCTGCAGAGGTGGGAGACTATAGGTGTGGAACATTGCATATACTGTCAGACTCCTTTCATGAACTGGTTGGTTTTACTGAACTAGATCCCCTCCTCTCTCCTTTCTCTTTTCTTTTTGTTACGAAGGATATCTCAGTGAGAAGTGGAGAGAGATATAGTGGGGAATTGTGACAGGTGGCCACAGAAAGAAAATGATACAAAAACAAAATATATCAATAATAATTTAAAAAAGAGAAGTGCTCATATCAGAATGCTGGGGGGCTTTGGAGGGGTCTGGTCCCTTTTTGTCTTTTGCCTCCCTCTCCACATACTACAGACTCTAAGATTAAATTTTCTAGTTTATTTATAGAGGAAATATATATTTAAAAATAAGATACAAGGGTAAGGGAATTAGAAATGTGATGAAAAGGAAACCTCCCAATCCCAGACTGAATGGTGCCTAATATTTTAATATTATTCCATCTGGGTATTTTTCTTCAGATTTCTTGACCCCAAATCCTCTCTAGGCCTGGAGCTGCTTTCCTTCTGTCTCCCTAGTACCTATCCCTCCCATTCTCTCCCCTCCCCCAACACCCAACAACCACTCCAGAATAATAGCAAACCAATCTGGGATTTATGCATCTAGGTACTTTCACTCTAGTGCATTGGTCCATCCTGTAATCCCAGGCTTATTCTCATCCAATCAGAAAGCTTCTTGATCACATAAGGAGGTTTTTGAATGTCCTCATGTTTTTATTTGGCTGTCCTACTTCAACAAAAATAGACTGTTCTGACAGCCACCAACCCCAATAGTCACTGAAGGCAAGCCTGAGGGTCTTGATTTTTCCCTGCAGCTCTGCTCTCAGGTAGCATTTCATCTGGATGGAGGGTCACTTCTAGGAGAAGCTGGAGGTGAAGGAAGGGTGTTGAATTTGTTTTGGGGGTAGGACACAGGATGGCTAATGCTTACACCCATCAACCCTCCTGATGATGGGAGAGATGCCAACATGTATAACATGGTGGAGGAAACATGGAAAGACCAGGGTTGAGTGTCAAGGCTCAGGGAAGGCAATACCTCTGGAGACTCAGAATGCTTGCTGGGCCTAAAGCCAAGGCTCCTGTGTCACTGGTACATAATCTCTCATCACGGGAGGGCTAGGAAGAGAGACAAGGGCAGGCATGACCTTTTTCATCCCATAATGGGAATGCTATCTATCTGGCTCTCAGAATGGGGTGTTTGGGGAGTACTGTGTTCCGTTCTGGGTGCTGCCTTCTAGTAAGGACACTGATAAGCTGGACAGTAGCCAAGGAAGGGTGACTAAGAGGGAGAAGGGCCTCAGGTTGATGCCATGTGAAAATCAATTAAAATAAAGGGAGATATTTAGTCTGGAAGATGGAAAACCCAAGACAACATGGCTATGCCTTCCAGTATATAAAAGGCTGTCTGGTGCAATGGAGGTTAGCTCTGTTCTGCTTGGTCCTCGAGGACAGAACCAGAGACAAAGGGGTAGAAGCAGACAATTGAGGCTTGATTTTAGGAAAAACTTTCTAACAATGATCACTGCCCAAGAATGGAAGAGGCAGCCTTGGAGAAGGTGGGCTTATTCTCATTTGAGTGGATGACCACCTGTCTTTTTTCAGGGGAGGGTTGGTTTAGATGGCTTCTGAGATCTTGCTCTGAAATTCTGGGATCCTGTGTTATATTTCAAGCCCTTTGTCATCCTTTGTCCTGTGCAGGGCGGGGGCAGGACAACACCCGAATGCTGAGTCATCCCGGAGAATATGGGTGGAGCTGGTCCACCAGGAGTTTGGTCATGCCAATCACCTCTAGTCTGCTCATGTCCCTAAGGTGTCCCTCAGGAAGGAAACGGGCATAGAATGTGTTACCCAGTGATGGAGGTGCAAAGGGTGAGAGACTGAATCGGGAGCAGAAAGAGACAAAGACTTGGTCGACAGAGGTCAGGCTTCAGGGATGTAGCTCCCATCATCCGAGCCAAATGGCTGCTTGGGAGAAGACAGGGAGAAGATCTGAGTTTAAAGCTACAGGTGAAAATCTCACCACAAGGTAGGATCAACCTTAACAACCAGCTGGCAGATGGATTTCATGTGCCAGGAGTCAAGAAGATCTGGTTTCAAATTCCACTTCTGTGGACCCTGGGCAAGTCACTTACTTCCCTGTGACTTGGGCATCGCCCAAGAGCTCATCTACTTAGTCGGAGACTGTTGGGATCTCCATTCCTGTATCCCCCTAATTAGACCACACATAGTCTCTCTGAGGGCAGGGTCCACTTCTAATTCATCTCTTCACAAATTACTTTATATAAATTTATGTAAACATAGATTTTATATATATGTATACATCTTGGTTCCCTTGATAGAATGGAAGCTCCTTGGAGGCAGGGACTGTTTTATTTTATCTTTGGATCCCTAATACCTAGCACTGTGCCTAGTACAAGCTTAATAAATGGGTGTTGGTGAATTGATTGCTTTTCGTATCTTCCTCAGTGCCATGTACCTAGAATATGCTTAATAAATGTTTGTAGAATTAAACTAAGTTGAACAGGGAGAAATGAGCCAAGGCTTTAGCCAGAGGCTGAAGGAGGTAAACAGTCTTGGGTCCTGACAGTAATGACAATCAGTGGGTGCCACAGACCGATAGCACCCCACACCAAGGTTCTAGCCTGATTGCTATGGCTCCACGCTCCAGTGCCCTGCCTGGCAAACAGAGAGGATGAAGGGAGGAAAAAGGAGAATAGGGAGGTATCCATATACCTGCATACAGATCTCATCATTTTGCTTTTTGTTATCACAGGTTTCCCAGACTCGGGTAAAGTGCAGATTATCAGAAAATATATTCCTGGCAATGGGAGAAGGAATAAAGGGAAATAGAATTATTAGAAGCTGTTACCATTTTATGTCTTTAGATTATCTACACCATTATTTTGGACCCAGGAGAAAGTAATGATAATTCTAGTAAATAAGAGGATTATTTTTTTGGTCAATTAACTGTAACTGCATTTAGGGTTTTCTTGGCAAAAATACTGGAGTGATTTGCCATTTTCTTTTCTAGCTCATTTTACAGATGAGGAAGCTGAGGCAAACAGGGTCAAGTGACTTGCCCAGGGTCACACAGCTAGTAAGTGTCTGAGGCTGGATTTAAACTCAGGATTTCCTGACTCCAGGGCTGGTGCTCTATCCATTGTGCCACCTAGCTGCCCCAAATAAGAGGATACAACATCCTTCAATCCAGCAATACCATTAATAGGCCTACACCCCCAAAGTGATCAAAGAAAGAAAAATCATGTAAAAAAATATCCATAATTATATATGTACATGTATAAAAATAGGGGGTTTTTTTTGGTTGTAGCAAAGAACTGGAAACTAAGGGGGTGCCCACTGTTTGGGGAATGGCTGAATAAGTTATGGCATATGAATGTGATGGAATACTACTGTGCTGTAAGACATGATGAAAAGGTGGTTTCAGAGAAATTTAAGTAGACTTGTATGAGCTGAAGAAGAGTGAAGTGAGCAGAACCAGAAGAACAATTTTATAGACAATAACAACAACACTGTAAAGACAGCTTTTGAAAGCCTTAGAACTCCAATTGATGCGGCAATGACCAGCCACGATTCCAGATGACTGATGCAGCAGGCTGCCCACCTCCTGACAGAAGGGTCAGGACTCAGGGTTCAGAGACATAGTTATGGACAGGGCAGTGGAGGAATTTGTTTT